GAAAGCAATCAGGAGAGGGTACTGAGCAATTCGTGTGGATTCAGCACATTTCCGCATGAGACTGATAAAATGGGTAAGGGCAGGATTTTGCCCTTTCATTGCTTTGATAAAGTAGTTGGACTCTGGCCTCAACATTTATTCGTCTCTAAAAATATGGAGAGGGCAGAGCAAAACTAATAATTATATTGTTTAAAAGAGAGAAGTTCATCTCTTTATATCTCCTGCCCTCATTTCCTGAAAAAAAAAAAAAAACACTGGTCTTTTGCCAGTGCTGCCTCACACTTCAGGTCTGCCCCTGTTATTTTGACTGATTAGACTGGAAAAAAAAAATAAGTACTAGTATGATTTTCGGCATCTTTCCAAATCAGTCTCCAAATACCAGATCAACATTAGAAGGGGCCAGAACGCCTCTTCGATGTGGACCAAGTGAGTCCATGTTGCTACTGAGTAGATGTGTCATTTCCTTGCTCTCAGCTTTCAAGCTTCATTTCCCAATGCCTTCCTGTGGACAGTTCTCGGAGGATCACAAAGGATATTAGATTACACTGTCAAAGAGCTCCGAACTTTTAAGGATAGCCCATCTAACAATCTAATTATTCGATTAGCAAGTCTTTTAAAATTGTTTTAGCCTAATTAACATGCCCATCTCAGAGTTCAGTTTTATTTCTGGAAGCGCACTGTATCATAATCACCACCAAATCTTCCATATTTTGAATTCAAAATGAAGGGAGGAAGAGAAAGAAAGAAAGAAAAACAGACAATGCTACTGCAGAGCAACCACTAGTATTAAAATAATAATAATAAAAACAATAGCTAATTTCTGCTGAGACTGAGGTGCAGGTTATCATAATCAGTATTGATGTGTTTTGCAGGAAGGTAAGTAAAATGCAAAAATGCAAAAGCTTTAAACCTGGAACAGGGTGCTGGATTCCCAGGGAACCCCTCTACCTCCGCCCTTTGCAAAACAGTGTGAATAATCATTTCTCAAGAAGGGAGGCTGTTCAGGGATCAGAGCATGCTGGTAAATGGGAAGGAGAGGCCATGCAAATATGTTGTCCTGGATGCTCCTATTACTTTTGCCATAACCGGACACAGGGGCAGCAGGCACGGCAGCAGGGTTTGCTATGCACATGCAAGCTTTTTTTGGCAGGGCTGGGGGCGAGGAAGTGTTGTCCTTCACTTCCTCATTGCTTGCAATGAGGGAAAAAAAAAAAAAAAGAAAGGTCACTTGACAGAAGGCAGGGCATAAAAACT